CCAAATATAGTAACTTGTACCATTCCAGACAGTGGAAAACGGACAACATAACAACTGTAATATGGACTATCTAGGGAATAAAATCCCACATTTTACAGTACCTGTAATCCAAAAAATCCAGACAGATAATATACATAATATAAAACATATATCTGAGATACATCATGTACTGTGTTGTGGCTCTGTGCCATTAAAGATATCAAACAAACATACAGAAACTAATATCCAATATATACCATGTACAAGGCTACACATGCCTCAAAGTAGATATCAGAAATACATATGCACGATCACTGTCATGCCTCGACGTATACATATACAGATGCATAAATCCATAATTATCAATAACTAATCCAGCTCCATCATACTAGCCTCCCTGTACAGGCTTCTTGCTTTGAGAAGGCTCTTCCATGGTTGCTAGAGTACTTGAACTGTAATCCCCAAACTGGGTGAGATACAACCATCTCAGTAAACCCAAGGTTTTTGGAGTAGTCTCCACCCTCGAGTTTGCTTCCTGCATGAAAGGTCAGATATAAAGCATAGCATACATCATATAGCATAACTAAATATACGACAATCATGTAGTTAAAATCTCTACACTAATCGTCTAGACTGAATCTCTAGGAACACAAGTTCTTACGGAGTAACCAGAGTCAATCGAGCACCAGATGCACTCATGGCATAACATAATGTTTATTGGCCAAGAACCAGAATACACACACACAGACATACATATCATATCCAAATAGACATATCATCAGAATAAATATCACATAATCACAAACATAACCTATATGGATGCAACTATACCAAGCATCTAACAGATACAAATATCCAAATCATCACCCCACTGGATTTTGGTGGAACAACAAGATAGAAGAAAACTCCAAAACCAAGAGTTTACCTGAATATGAGCTTTCCTGTCAAACTTTGTTTGAAATCCTAGAACTAATCATTCAAATGATTTTCTTTCACTTGTTCACTTGATTGTTCACTATTATAAATGAATACAGTCACCATCAATGACTACACAAACTTAACTTAAACTCCACGAAATCAACACTTTGAAGTGTTAAATTCAAATTTAAAGATGGTGTTACACATTATCAATCCAATTCTTTCAAGGATCAATTCATGCCAAGACACAAGTCTTAATTATTTCATTAAAAGTCAACAATTATACCCTTAACTTAATTAACCCTATAAAAACAACCTATAAGGCCGAATTGTAACCTAAAAGATTCACCAAGAAACTTCATACTAAATTAGTTTTAAACAAATTTAACATACTTGAACTATACTCAATTTCATGTCACAAACATCAAACACAATTTACAAAACTCTTAGCTAATTCTTTCAAGTCATGGTCGAATTGGAATTTTCAAAGGAACCTATCTTTTCAAACTTCTTCTAACAATTACAAGTTCCCTTTAGCTTTATCATGTATTAAATACATTAAATACCTTTCATTTTCACAAAATAAAACATTCCAATTATTTTAACTCTTAATGGCTGCCTTCTTGAAGTAAACATGGATTCCTTTGCATTTTCAACTAGTTTTCTCTATTAATTCAACATCCAATTAACATAATCCATATTCATTTTAACATCAAACACTTAACTTCATGATTTTCCCAAGCTTTGGCTGAAAATAGGTAAAGGATAGGCTACATGAATCGCAAACGTGAAAGATTTACTTATTAGAAGGGCTTAACTTAAAAAGTAATTCCTAAGGGATTATGATTCTAATAGAGTTAATAAGGTTAAAGTCATTAAGGAATTAGGGCTCAACCAATCAAATAAAAGATAGTGAATCGTTTGATCAATTGCATAATTAAATGTAAACGTTCATTCAGGTTATGAGGTGGGGATCATAAATGTGTTGACGTCTCTTTACCGCAATATTTTCTCAATTATCTTCTCAACCTTTAATCTGTTGTTCTTGAGTTTTAAAAGAATATTTGAATTATTTACACTTTTTTGAATTGTTCCCATTTTTCGCAAACCACAATTGTTCTTAAATTAATTTTATTAATCCAACAAGAGAGGAATATTTATAATAAATTCGGTGCCTCAATTCTCGTGGAGATGATACTCTACTCATCAACTTATTACTTGGTACAATCGGTACACTTGCCGATTACGCAACACAAGACCGTAGAAGTTCACGAAGGTTCGTCGAAATTTAAGAAGATTCAAGGCTTTAAATCATATTTTCCAACCATAGGAATTAGGTTTTCTTACCTTAAAAAGGCTAACAAGGACCTAAACTACATTCTTGAACCAAAGAACCATTAAATGACCCATCTTCTTCACTTGGCAGCAATAAGGTCAAAACTTGGAGAGGGAATAACTCTCTCATTTCATCCTCAAATCATGATTTAAGATGGGGGTTATGATCACAAGATCATATACTAGTGAAATAGGTTTTATGCAAAAGATGAATAGAATTGGATGTATATTGCTTGTTCTTTCTCTATTGGAGCTTGCGGCCTTGCATGAAGAGGAAGGGGAAAGAGCTGCATTTTTTTGAGCCTTTAAGAAGCCAAAAATCCGACTTGATGGCCAAGAAATAAGAAGGTTTGGTGGCTAAGCTTCAAATATTGACTTTAATCATTTATTTGCATTCTAATTGGTTACAATTTTTCAGTAACCTTGACTTATTTATTTTAATTAATCTAATCATAATTAATATAATCTAATACCACTTATATATCATAAAATTTAATAAAGTATTTAATTATATCATCTGAATTAAGTTTAGGCCAAGTTTTGCTAAATTACAACATGGCCCCTAAACTATTACATAATTATATTTTTCAACCCAAACTTTTCTAATAATATTATTTGGGTACTAATTAACTTGTTTGACATGAATTATATCTTGATACTCATTATCATGTCATTTACATGATTTATTCATCAAAACTTACATTAGAAGCTTACTTACTTCAGAATTAGCAAAACTTACTGATTAACCTAATAATCATCATTTTCCTTCAAGACTTAATAGATAGGGTCATTATACAAGGGTTGGTGGATCATTATGCACAATAAAGGCTTGAAGCCAAAAGAGGATATTGTGTATGCACAATGGCAACAAGAAAGTTAGGGTTTTAGAAGTGTGTACTTGTGGAGTTTAACTCGTTTTTTTTTTAGAGAGTTTACCTTTAGTGGAAAAAGCTCAATATTTCCTAAAGCATGTGGGACCCATTACGTGGATCCAAAACCATATGGATGACATCTAACTTGTTAAAGGATACATAGGTGTCATGTGAAATGATAAACCATACATAAGATTGAAAATGTGGTAGTTGCACTATGCGACCTTATTTATTCCCATTTAAAAGTTTACCTCAATTGCATGCTGTGGAGCCAACTGTTGATTCTTGGTAATCCTATAAATATTCCAAAAAGTTTTCGCTTGAAAGGGAGCAAATGTTGAACTTGTGACTCACATTTGAGGATGAGAATGTTATGAGTATTCAAATGTGACTGGTGAAATCTCAAATTGGTTAAGAATATACTAAATGGAGATCATATAAATGAAAAGATCCATAATTTTAATGTCTTAAGATTTTGAATTAAATCATAATGTCGAGTCTATTTGTTCCACTGATAATGTACTCCCTGCCATTGGCCCTGGCCTCGTAACAATTATATTGCCGTAGGTGAATTCTGCTATGGCCGAAGTAATGGTAGCTAGTGATTCAGCTTCAATCAATTCATTTGATAAAATATTTTAATTATGCCTGTTGCCCCCTAGGAAAACCTGCTGGAAGCCAAGATGATTTTATGTTAATGTGACGGGGCACTGTATAAAATAGTGTCATTGACATCTATCACACTCTAGGCATAAATTTTTAATGCGAGCCTCCATAATGCGCTAGTAATACCTTCTCTCAAGGCCTTCCGTGAAAGATACTCCAGACCAAGTTATCTAAAAATCTACAAGAAAGAAGACTTTAATCCTCCAAAACTGTACAATTCCCAAAGTCATCTTTGTATGGACATGTGGACCAACAAGAGTCCAGGCGTGTAACCTCATGTGGACCTCGGAGTCAACCGTCTTTGGAGGACTTCATTCAGACAAAGTTCCCAGTGTTTGTTTCATCGTTATTTTGAAGTGAAAGCTGATGCAAGAAGAGTTGACTCCGTCATTGAAGTTAACCTAATTAAAAAATGAATCAATGTTTTTCATGATATATGAGATAATTTTATCTCTTTTACATTCATATAAAGTATATGAGGTTTATGCAATATTTTTTTGTCTCTTCTCTTCATAAGATTCCATATAAGTCTCGTACACTTTTATATGTGTGTAGTAGATAAAATTATCTTCTACAATACGAGAAACAATAATCCTTTTTAAAAAAATACATTTATCATATTACATGAGATAATTTTTGCCGCATAGACACTAAAAAAGTATATGCTGCCAAATTTTGGTTTGAGAAAAAATTATATCAAAGACGAACTATCTACCACTTTAGTGGTATAAAATATTTCAAGCACAAAGTAATGGCCGATTCTTACAAGCTGCTGGAAACGGATGTCAAATTTGATCAATTTTTTTCTTCTATATACCTACCTCCCTAAACACACAGTAATATATACAGAAATATAAATATGGTGGATAGTATCTGATTTTATCAACGGAAAAGGGTCCACTTCTTTTTATAGAAAATCAAAGATGGGACACCTTTAGACCTTGGATTCTCCTTTTCGGTAAATGGTCGATTTTTCCATTTCTATTGTTTAATTTGCTACTAAAACTTTTCTTTAAAGCCAGATTTCTTTGTCTGTCGTTAGATATTGCTTGAATAAGAAATGGGATAACTTAATTTTATCAATAGTGGGAGAAGGTTTCTTGAGAAATAAGCAATTATGTGCTGATTTCAGCAATGATACTCATAATCATAGTTTCAGTCCATTAGAAACAAACTGGACATGACCTCAATCCCATGTAATTATACAAACATAAATATCAAATTATGGTTCTAAAATAATAATAAATCCTATATTAGTATAACATACAATCCTATGTCTTATTCATTTCATACATCTAATTTATCAGTCTTACAGCACACACATCCAAATAAAAACTTGTAGACCTACCTAGGCTAAAATGAAAGGTCTCTGGTTCGATACTTAGGTGAAGTAACTTGGGATAAGAGATAAAAACTTTCATGTTCTACACCACAGAGGGGATTAATTTTAATCCAAATGGGTGGAGATACCCATGAGGAAAAGGGTGGGGGGAGGGGGTGACAGAATAAATTTTCACTTTTTCAGGGGTCCAAATAAACAGGTAGCACAGCACTTCTTGATCTACTTCCATGTCCAAAGGAAAAGAATGATCTCTTGACTCTACCACTATCACCACAAACTTCAATGGAGTTGACCTCATTCTGTTGCTGTAAAGACTGTTGAACTGGCAGATAGAACTTTCTGTCCACTGATGAATCCATGGAAAAGGACCTCCTGATGGGTTGAACTGATTGAGGACCATCTTTGGCTCTAACACTTATACATTCATCTCCCATGCTTATCACTTTATGAAGCTTCCTTGCTTTCTTCTGAACAATTCTTTGCTCAAACTTCCTCTGTGAAGGACTAATAGGACCTCTTTCTTCTTGTCTTCCTTGCAAGTTTTGGTCTGTATCATGTTCATTATCCAAATCAATCACAACAAAATCATCACCACCAATGAGGTTTTCAACATGTGTGCTATGATCCCGAGGGGAAGGCCTTGGAGTGAGAAGCTGATCATCAACATGGGTTTGGCTTGTCAAGGAAATGCTTCTTCTACAAAGTGGGCAATTGGCATTGTTTTGAAGCCAAACATCTATGCAATCAATATGAAAGATATGGCTACAATTTGGTATGACCCTGAGCTTCTCATCTTCTTGAAACTCATTCAAGCAAACTGCACATTCACATAAGCTTCTTTCACCAAAGTCTGTGTTTCCTTCTGTCTTGTAATGAATCACCGGGATTAACCGAATCACTGTTTCCTCTAGTCCTCTGGGCTCTGATGCTGGTGAGTATGCTGCAGAAGGCTCTTCATGTCTGCTTGATAGAGAAAAACCTCTAACATGATCAACAATGTGCCAATGGAGGCAGCACTTGATCACAAAGATGTAGTAGCTCATAAGCAAGAAAGAAGTAGCCAGTATTCCTATTACAATGATTCCTATAATGGGAAAACTTGTACTAGAAGGATGTACACCCAAATGGGGATGACTTATGCTGGGGGGAAGATCTTGTGACATATGTAACACATGAATCAGGTGTCTTTTGCTTACAAAATCCATACAAGATTCAACAGACAAATGGGTTTCTCTTTGATCTTAAATATATCACCTGAGTAGAGTATTAGGAATGAGTAATACAAGGGTTTAGAGAGAAGACATGGCACTTGACCCTGAAAAAACTTTAGTAAGCTAAATTCACTAGGTGAAGGAGGCCATGTAGTGGGAGTGGTTGTAGAGAGTGAAGAGCAATTAAAGATGGAACAGGGAGAACAGAGAAAAACTATGGTGGACTTCAACTTCAATGAGAAGTGTTGTCAAAGGTATTTTCCTTATTTATTAAGGTTGGAGTTCCAAGAGAAGTTAGGGTAGAAAATTATTCAAGTCTTAAATTGTCTTGGTCACTGTAGAATATTTTGTGTAACGTATGGTTCAATTTTTAAATGAAGACTCTACAGAATCAGTGGTGGTCCAGTTAGAATTATAGCGATTATTGGAGGACCAAGTCTTGACAAATGAAGTGAAACTATCTGTTTACTTTGATTGAGTGGTAAACGTATTCAAATTAAAATTTTAAGTTTCGTTGTCCAAGAAAAAAAAAAAATGGAAGTTCAGGCCAAATGAATTTTATGTAATTGGACAAGGTAGGTATTAATAATTCGGTTGTGTCTTTACAACATGCTTGTCTTGATTACCCTTCCTGCAGGGTATAAAAAAAAAACACTTGATTCCCCTTTACAAGAGCTTGACAAAAAAAAAAAAAAAAAGTTTTTTTGTTTTTTAATCTGAAAGATAATTTAGTTGATGAACTAAATCATAGTCCACCAGTGAAGAAATAAAATCGGATACTACTCAATTCATATATATCAAAGATCACTTGTCCTACCATTTTAAGCTAAACAATCCACTACTCATTACATTCACCTTGATAAGCACAACGATTGAAATTATCATACCTATAAGCATGTAGTATTGAACCATTATAAGAATGAAAAACATACCATTTCTATCAGTATATTTATATACTTGTACATGTACATGTATTGTGCAACATATGGGAGATTATATTTTTGACACCTAAAAATTACAGTTACCATTTTCCATTTATTTACTAAAAGATTTTATTTAACTATTTCTAAATAAAATTATCATTAATAATTTCAATTATACGTAATATGTGAATGTTATGAAGATGAACAGAAATTGCACCCTTAACAGAAAATAATACTTGGTATAGAAAAATTAAACAGAGCGTTAATGATGATTGGACACTCGCTTAATGTAAAAAGAAAAGTGTCAGACACTCCTCAATGCACGCCCACCGTTGATTTTTTTTCGGGTAAACCACATATATTTTCCGTGGAAGGCATTGAATTCTTATTCACAAGCCTCACCGCCCTTGCTCTTGCCATTTTGCCAAAGATACAACCATCGCATTTGAAATAATCTCCAGTTTCATTGTTGCTTTCGGATTAAATATATGTCACTATATATAATTAAGTTATCAATTATTTTAATTATATTTTTAATACCATTGTAAAGTAAAAGAAATTTCTTATTATATACAGAAAAATATTATATTGACAAATTTTTTTTCTTACAAACTTACAATCTATACTGATCAAACAGTACTTTTAATTGATATATAACTATTCAGACTTATTGTAATTTATAAATTTATAAGAAAAAAAGTTTATCAATATAATTCATCGCTTATATATATAACCATGAATATATTTATGTAAAAAAAATATGCTATTGAATATATAGTACCTTAACGACGTGAACCATCGTGACAGCCTCCGTCTCTTGGCCAAAAAGAAGCAGGTAACTTACACGTTAGGGTTGAAAATTCTAGAGGGTACTAATGCTGCATCCTTTTCGTCCATAAAGGTTAAGAATTTCTAAGAGCGAAGTCAAATCCGTGTGTAGTGCTATTAGTATTTTCTAAAGAAAACAGACTAGGAACAGAACCTACGCACTCCATACCTGGCTTGGTGACAACGTGTAGAAAGAGATCAACTTAGGGATGGATAAAATACACGGTCACCGTTTTCTTTTCAAGGTCTCAAAATGTGTGTTTATTTTTGAACTGAATCAGTGCGAAGATATAGATATATTTTTCAAGAGGGAGAAGCATGTCAATCTAAGAGAGATGAAGGAAGTAGTTGTATGAATCAAAGCTTTGAGAATTCTCCATACTAGCCTCACGTACTGAGGGTGTTAAAGGGGGAGGTGTTTGAGGGCTACAGTTATAATTGAGGTGAGAATTTACTAGTGTAACAATAATGGAGAGCGAATAAAGAAGATGAATAGAGAGGGAGCTAAGATCCCTTTATATAAGAGGTAAGGGTGGCAATCTGGGTCGACCCAACACAACACACACGTCATGAATTTGAAAACGAGTCAACCCAAACATGAATTTTTTGTATTGTATTCATGTCGTGTTAGTGAGTTGTGTTAAAAACTGCCTAAAATTGCCACCCCTGATAGGAGGTTAGAGATTCCCTCCAAATACGAAAAAGCGTGATATAATAACCGTTTCTAGCTGTGTATGTTAGTATGTAGGTGTTCTAGAGACAATTTGATTATTAGAGGAACACCTTTTACTGTTTTATATTTCATGACTTATATATTTGAGCACACTTTATCTTTATTATATTTATGTCTCACCTATATTTTACGGTTAACGTGCATTTAAAGATAAATGCCCTAGGGATAGAATAGATGCACACTCGAGAATCTATGATAAGGGTCATGATCATGAGAACTCGAGGACACTACATGTCTATTGTGTAAAGAAAGGATGGCTAATGCAGAAACACAAGAGGTGGGTGAATTGTGTAATAACTTGTTTTGCAAGAAATAATGAAAATCAAATCCCTTTATTAAGAAAACAGCCCAAAATAAATGTAACAGAAAACAAACCTTCACCAATGTAAAAACAGATTTAAAGCATATCAAATTTCGTCCAATAATAGCGATTATGCAGCGGTATCGAAATAGATGAAGGGTAAGGAAAAATCACATCAAGATTTATCCTGGTTCACTATCTAACCACTTGAGAGCTACATCTGAACTGAGGTCGTCATTCCACTATGTCCAAAGCTTCCATCTGGTGCCTGGAAAACTATTTTACAATGGAGTTTTTACAAGATCTATGATCACACTCAACCTATCACCTATAAGGTCTCTCCGACAATCCAGAATCAATTACAGCAGCAAGATTCACGAAAAGAGCAAATGAGCAATCTCTCCTAGTTCAAACAAAAAAGAGAAAGACAAAAAAAGATCAAGAGATGAGAAAGATATAGAGCTTTTTCTCAAGAATGTCAAAATATAGCCAAATTTGTGTTAATTCTTCCAAATTCTGAGTTCTGAGGTATTTCTATGTTAATTCTTGTTTATAAACCCTCATTGGACATTTATATAGGAGTATGAAAGATTAGATAGCTGTTTATATCTATTAGACTCATAATTTTTAATTAACTCACGTGACCAGATCCATATCCGAATATTTGTCGGGATTGTATCCGGATATTCAAATATCCATATTCGAATATTTGATGTCAGCAGCCTAGGATTTTTTTCTCAATTCTCACATATGTATGAATGCTTCTAGCATTGATATAACTGTGTTACATGTGTGTGAGTTATGTATTTATGTATCATATATGTAGGCTAACTTATGCATAAGTTTATGGCTTCTATAATGCAACCTTGAGAGTTATAGCTCAATAAACTCAAACCTCTAGATTCCTAAAATTAACTTAACTATTACAAATTGAATATGTCCATTAGAATCTTAAGATTCTTCCTTTGTCTCTATGTCTTGAGTCTTCTAGTTTCTTGCTTGACTTGAATCTTTGACTTTAGAATTGACTTTGCACTTTAAAGTTATTTATCCACTTTTGCATGTTGCTTTAGCCTTCTAGCTTCATTTGGAACTTGTTGCACTGCTTGTATGTTGTGCAAGTGTGTTGAGCTAGTTGGTACTTTGTAATCATCAAAACTTGACTTCTTGGTCTTGGTGACTTATTGTTCAACATATCGCCTGAGACCTGTTCCTAGTCTTGAATCACCAAGATAGGGCATTGGTGATCTCGATAAGACTAGTACGACACCATCTACTTGTATGGAGATGCAAGGTAGGGATCTCATGGAATGCAGGCATAGTGATGCCTTAGCTGATGTCGTGATCTGTTAGAGAACAGATGGCACTGAACTAACCCGCTCAGAAACTCCATAAGGATTCATTGTAGAGATTATCATTGGATTTGTAATGTCTCTCATCATTTGGTAGTTGGGTCGTCCTAGACTTGAGAATGTCATCGAACACTATGTCCTTGGGTTATATATTGATTGTACAACTCTATCCGTCTAAAAAATGGGGAGAACAATGTCTTGGGTATAACTCGATACATGAGTATGGATGGACATGCCGATAGGAGTTATAGTCCCCTACAAGTGATTAGTCATTTGCAAGACCGGTAGGGCTTGGATGACTTCTAGTTGACTCTGAAATCTATGCATAGTAAGCGATCACGATAAATTAGAAAAGTATATCACTTGATCAACTCGATTAGTTCTGGGGTCGTAGAGCATTGCTAGTGTCTTAGTGGTCATTAGATAAGTTAGGCGCGTTAAAGGAGTTTAATTGGTCCAAATTTATCTATATCAGTGATTAATTAGGCCTAATGAGTCACATACTAATGTCGTTCTTGATTGCATGTTATAGCAAGTTTGAGCCAATAAGGTTGCGTTTATATTGACTTTTCAATAAAGTCCTTTTTACGACTTCCTTATTTTAAAAGTACTTTCTACAAAAGTTACAGGTATTTAGATTTTGAGTAAACACCCTTTTCAGTCCCTGTCAATATCTACGAAGTCCTTTTTAGTCCCTGGCAATAAAAAAGGACCAAATTGATCCCTGAAATTACAAAAAAAGGGTTATGTTAGTCCTTATGTCAACTCCCAAATATGTAGAGTGACCCTTTTCTTGTACTTTCAGGGACCAATTTGGTCCTTTTTTATTGCCAGGGACTGAAGAGGACTTCGTAGATATTGCCAGGGACTAAAAATGGTGTTTACTCTTAGATTTTTAAAAAAATATTTGATTTTTGAAAAAAATATTTGGCTTTTGACTTCTGCTTTTTTTAAAAGCTAAAATTTTTAGCTTCCGAAAAAAGTAAGTTTTTGACTTTTTTTATGACTTCTACTTTTTTTAAAAGCAGGCATCCAAACAGATTTTTTTCGAGAAGTGCTTTTTTCCTTAAAAAAAAGCAACTTTTGAAAAAAAAATTCCATCCAAACGGGCTCTAATTGTTATTTGGCTTTGTCAAGACTGTAGGTGAAATTAGGTTGTAGTGGGACTCCAAGCCCAATTGCAGCATGTGTCCCATTTGGGCTTTAGTGGTGAAGTTTTTTTCTCCACTAATAAGCTAAAATGGGTTAGAGGGCCTAATAGGGTCTTGGGGCATGAGTACTAATAAGTCAAAGAGTTGACTAAGCCAAAATGAGTTTTGGCGCAAATCATAATTTAAATTTTGAATTTTAATTCAAATTTAAATTACGAGCTAGGATAAGATTGAATTTGGATTTGAGTTTAA